TACCTCAGTTCTGGTTTTGCAATACGGCCTGAGGACAAGTCTTTATCATTTAATCCAGTCTCCATAGGGTGATTATTTCTGCTTGGGATGGTCTCCGTTTGTGGAGGTTCTGCTGGAATCCAAGGTGACAAGAGTTACAGCAATGGCAGGAAACTGCTAGGCACTCATGGGTAATTGATTGGGAAGTTGATTGTCCCTGTAAATCTCTTCTCTTGGTGTCCTCAGTCTCCAAGGAGATGAGACAGGTTATATAAATTTAAGGCTAATCAATTTAGTTTTACCAGCTTTTGTACAGACACTCTCTAAATGATTAGCATAACCATATGCAAAGGTGAGCAGAGATCTGACCCAAAGGTTAAAGGCTAAAAAAGGAGAAAAATACAAAGTAAAGGTTAAGGCTTGTTCTGCTTTTAGATTGCTATTGGGCATTAGCCCAGGTGAAGAGGCCTTTTTTTTCTTGCAAGTAAATACAGCTTTTAAGAAGTAGGCATTTGGGCAAAGCCCAAGGTCCTAGAGGGACATCAGTGAACTGAATGTTAAAACCCAAGTGGGTATTACACAGCAACCAGATCAGTTATGAGAGACGTCCAGTTGGAATTCCAAACACTTTCCAGGGCCCTCAGAAGCTGGAGAAATATTATAAATACAATCTTAGGTTGGCCCAGGTTAGAGGCTCACTGTTCATTTCTAGTAAATGGTGCACAGTCTACAACTTCTCTTGTGAGCAAGTAGCCAACAGAAAGCCAAAGGGGCTCATTAAGCTCAAGCTTCTGCAGACAGGCACTTTAATATCTGGAATGGTATTAGGAGCAGTGGGGTGAGAATGGCATTGTGTATTATAGGAAAGAACCCATTCAAGAAAATCTGTTGATGAAAAATTCACCTCTCTGGAAGTCTTTAAAATTTTAGTGGGAATATTTGTTATTTCTGTTAAAAAATTACCTACAGTTCCAAAACCAAGACATAAGCTTGTTAATGACTGGTATTTTATAGTTGAGATCATGTAAGTTGACTTTTGCTGTACCCTTTGACAAAATACTATAAGCATTTTCAAGGTAACCAAAAGTGCCCTGTGAACATCATTTTAGTGTACGCATAACTATCCTTTAATCTATAGAAACTCCTTTGCGGTGGCACAGTTGGTTCTTCTATATCTTTGCTATTATGAATACACTGGCATAAAAGACACTGGGAAAGATGCATCATGACATCGGCAACTCACTTTCAAAAATGTTTGAAAAATGTTACTTTGTAAAATGTTATCAGTAGTAGTTGAACCTCGGTATATGGGAGCTGTACTTTTTGTTCATTCTACTTTATTTCTATGTACATTTGAAATTCTTTATGATCCAACATTGTTAATAACAGTGCAGTTATGAATCCTTTTGCACATATTTTTTAAATTTTAATACTTTACTTCTGTGTTTACTTAAGATGAACCCCTAAAATGGATCTTTTGGGGAAAAGTTCTGTATATCTTTAAGAATCCTAATACACACTCCCCAGCTGTCCTATGGGAAATTTGTACCAACCATATATGGACTGTGTGCTTCATTCAATCCATGCCATCACTGAATGGTACTGCTTTTGATTACCATTTGCTACTTCATTAGGAAAAGTAGTGTCACTCAATTCCTGTGATGACTAATAAGTTTGAGCACTTATTTCCCACTTTCATTAGCTGTTCATATTTCTTTCTTGAACTGTAACCTTGGCACATTTTTCCACTGAAACTTTAAGGTTTCTCATGTCCTTGAATGATGTTTTAAACTATAATGTTTATTTTCTCTGGATAATGCAAGAACATAATTTTACATTTAAAGATAGAAAGAATAGCTATCATCAAGAAATCAACCAACAGCAAATGCGGGAGGGGTTGTGGGGAAAAAGGAACCCTTTTCCACTGTTGCTGGGAGTGTAGACTGGTACACTATGGAAATCAGTGTGGAGACTCATCAAAAAACTAGGATTAGAGGTCCCTTTCAACCTAGCTATTCCCCTTCTGGATATTTTTCCAGAAGCACTGAAAACATCATACTAGAGTGATGTATGTGCTCCCATGTTTATAGCAATGCAATTTGTCATAGCTAAATCTTGGAAACAACCGAAATGCCCATCAGCTGAGGAATGGATAAAAAAGATGTGGTATTTTCCTACAATGGAGTATTACTCAGCTATAAAGAAAGATAGACTTGATTTTATAGGTAAATGGATGCAACTAAAGACCATGCTCATAAGTGTCAGACCCACATGTGTAAACATCATATTGTCTCCCTCATGTTAGAACCTGAAAGAGTAAATAAAATCTAAAAGGTATAATAGATACTGTGAAAGGGAAACAAACTGCTCAAAGGGAAGGAACAACTGGGATGAGGGAAAGGAGAAAAGAAAGAAAGAAGAAAGGGAAAAAATATATATGCATATACACAGAATAGCTGGGATAATCGTACTGCTGATTTCTACTGGTCTATTGAAAGGAACAGTTCATGCTTTAATTTCTTTTTATTTTAATTTTTTTGACCAATTTTGCATGCTTATATTTGGTAATCTGAACAACTAATTTGAAGACAACAATATGCAATATAACAATCATTGTTAAATTCCTATCATCTTGTTTAGTGAAATTCTGTATTGTTTCTAATTTTTTATTATTATTTTTTATTCTCTTTTTTAAAAATAATAAAGATAGCATCAAGCTCACTCTTCCCTTTCTCCAGAGATGACCTATTCTTCTGGTGTTTTCCCACTCTTCTTAAGATATCACTTACATATAGAGAATTGTACACATTTTAACTGATAGTTTGGTAATTTTTCAAATTGTGCTTTAAAAACACGTAACACAAAATTTACTCTTTTAGCTATTTTAACTCCATTTTTCAATAGTGCTAACTATATGCTGTTAAGCAAGAAATCTTGAAAGCTTGTTCCTCTTGAAAAACTGAAACTCTATATCTGTTGAAAGGCTCTCCATTTCTTCCCCCCACCCCCGCCAGTTCCTGGCAAACACAAGTATACTTTCTGTTTCTACTCATTTGTCTACTTTAAATACCCCATGTTAGGGGGAATTATACAATATTCATCCTTTTTGTAGCTGGATTATTTCACTTATCATAATATCCAAAGTTTCACCCATGTTGTAGAACGTGACAGGATTTTCTTTTTTTTAAGGCTGTATAATATCCCACTGTATACATAGACTACTTTTTCTTTATGCATTCATTCCTTGACTGACTTTGGGTTGTTTCCTCCTCTTGGCTATTGTGGGTAATGCTGCAGTGAACATGAGTGTAGAAATATCTCTTCAAAGGTCTGTTTTCAATTTTTTGATAAATATCTAGAAGTGGGATTACTGTATCATATGATAATTCCAATTTTAATTTTTTTTTAGGAACTTTCATGTTATGTAATATGCTTTTATAGATATTTCTTGCTGTTTTCAATTTTATGCTTTGGAAGATAAGGTTTTCATACTCTAGAAGATAAGCTTTATTATACATCTCTGAGCCTTGATTAAATTACTCTCTTGTGTTCACATTTTTATGACTATACAAGTATCGTTTACTTAATTTCCATTTCCGTAGAACTTTTTGTTTTTCCTGGAGTTAATAATTGTACTGTTTTGATATCCTTAGTATTTTAGGTATACATCATTAATTTATAGCCAAATTTACTTACAAAAAATATAGTTTACTTACCTCAATGCGGTTCAACACAACAGGTAACCTATTAATTAAACTTTTTCCTTGGAGACATCCTCTCACACTGTCTCCTCTGCTTGCTCTCTTGTTCTGCTGCAAAACTATCTTCTGGAACTTCCATTTCACATCTTGGTTCTCTCTCTCTCTCTCTCTCTCTCTCTCTCTCTCTCTCTATCTATCTATCTATCTATCTCTATCTCTATCTCTATCTCTCTCTTCTCTCTTCTCTCTCTCTCTCTTTTCCCTCTTCTCTCTCTCTCTCTCTCTCTCTCTCTCTCTCTCTCTCTCTCTCTGCTTCGGCATGTTGGGTTCTCTATTTCCTGGTTCTTCTCTTTGAACTTTCCTTAAGTCTGGTGATCATTGGCTGCCTGTTTATATTAAGACTGCAAGCAGCAAGGTTACAAGGAGATTGAGAATTGCAAGACTGACCTGTTATCTCCCAGGCACCAGAGAGCGTGAGGGCTAGAAAGATGAAAGACTCAAAGGGAAGCAAGTACAAACCCATCGCTGTCGATCTAGAGCTATAGACAAGACTACTATTTGTACACTAGGAACTCTGACAAAGGCAAGAATAATCTATACATCCTGGGCAGCCTGCCCTTCTAGAATATCCTATTAATGACCATGATAATAGCAATAATAATAGCTAACATTTGGTAAGTGCCTACTATAAACAGGCACTATCAAATCTCTATTTAAGACAAAGTTTTCTTTCAGTTCTAAAATGATGACCTTTTCTGAAATAACAGAATTTGATTACCTTGGGAAGAATGAGTCATAGATCAATAATGTCAGAAGAATCAGCACTGGTTGACAAGCGGTATTTTGAATGTTTTTCTTTCTCCTTCAATCTCTATTCATCTTTCAAACTGAGACAAATAAAACTTCATTGAAAGTAATATCCTTGTACCCAGCTTTATGTAGTATATATCATTTTTGTAAAACATCTATAATGCATATGTTTTCATAAATTGCATAGTTGCAAAAATATTTGGTAAATACTTTTCTAGAAGGACTTCACTACAGTGTAAGTACCTTCCAGAAAGAGGTGCTAAGTTGGAGGGTCGAGTTTTAGTAAATTTTACAACCTTCTAATGGGCTTAAACTTTTAACCATGTACATTTACATTTCTTCTCTAACTAATAACTAATTTAAAATAAAATACAAATACGATCATCTCAAAAATGTAATCTAATTTCATAGAAGAAGGAGGAGGAGAAGGAGAAGGAGAAGAAAAAAAAGGAGAAGAAGGAGGAGGCAAAATGTTCCATTAACATAATTTTCTTCTGTCCCTTTTTTCAGGACCAAAAGTCTGAAGTCATGGTTCCAAATTAAGGTAAGCACTTACAGAATGTTGCCTAGACTGGGCCAGGAGGGAGAGAAAAACACGTGAAAATATTACAAGAGCCGATCTGGGGGAGCCCTCAGAGTATAAATCTGCCTGTCAGCTCTCCAACCCTTACTTCCAGCCTGCACGTGGTGCTATCCCAGGGCCAGGAATTCCACTCATCCCTGCTGCTTCTCCCTCTTTCTTCTGGAGCAGTAGGCACCACCTAGACCAGAGCCATGGCTAGTGATCTCCGGATTAGCTTAGGGGCTGCAAAGAGAGTTGAGGATTGAAGAGAAACAGCAGACAGAAATGAATCGCTCTGACAGCAACACCCATTGGTCAAGACCAAGAAGTTAGGAGCAACTAACGTGGAAGTCTCCACTCCATCTGTGCAAGCAGAAATGCAAGCTGCAAAAGCAAGGAGGAGCAGTAACATGAGTGCTTCCAAGGGTGTTTATGTAATAACAGGAGCTGGCATTTAGGGAGTATCAAGTAAGGACCAGGAACTGTGCTAAAGGTTTCATGTGTTCATTCCCTTAATCCCCCCAGCAACTCAGTGACACTATTCTGGTTGCCATTTTATAGACGCAAAATTGAGGCCAAGAGTAGGGTAGTGATTGACCTAGTTAAATAGCTAGTAGAGGTTAGTGATAGCATTTAAATCCCAGTAGTCTGGCTCCAGAGCTAAGAATTATGCTAAGGATAGGGATAAACCATTCACTGCATCAACTGTTTACTTACCTCTAATAAACATACAATTGCAAACTGAGGTAAGAAGATGGAAGAGAACACAACTTACAAGATACTTGACCTACACGACTGGGTGGAGGGAAACTTGACTGGGATACAGATACCAAGTAATCTAGGTAAAAGGCTGGAAGGAGGGGCATCAAGCAGAGTTCCAGTTATAGGAATTAGCATGTGTAAAGGTCCTGTGGAAGAAGAAAGAATTCTAAATTTGAGGAAAGCCAACATAGCAACACCTGGCTGTTTTTGGAGACAGCACGAGCCAGTGACAGAGCCACCTAGTGGTATGTAGAGATTGATTAAAACGTGATAATGCCATTTCATCTAGGAGTTCAGATACGGAAATGCTCTGCAGGAAGGACCCAGGCTTCTGGGGATTCACCGAGATCAGTATCTAACACCGTGCTTGCGCTGGCACATGTTCAGGTCTTCCTCTTCCAGTCCCTTCTGCTACATCTCCGATTCTGTGCCATAGCCAGACGCAAGCGACAATACCCACTGGCACAGACAGCCGGCGTGTGGGGGCCCCAGCTCCTCCGCACTCTTGGTAAAGAGGCCTCCCGCCCCACCCCCTCCGCACCCCGTCCGGATGACTCACCACAGTGGCGAGGCTGACAGCTGAAGTACATTTGGCCCAAGCCAGTAGGACATTGTGGTGCAGGGTTTGTTGGCTTTCCCTTCCCTGGGCTTTCAAAAGCAATTCGAATAAGAGATGAACCAGGGGCCAGGGCCCATTGATCTGCGTCTGTTAAAATTGAGGTGGATGTCGGCTGTGTCCCTGTTTGGCTCTACCCTTTCACACTGTGCCAGAAGGGCGCTGGAGAATGCCTACTTTGTGGGTGATGGAGAGCTCGCTGTCTGGCTTGCTCACACTTTGTGTATCTGGGTCTCCGCACGGTGGCAAGGCCTCCATCCATCACCACATTGCCAAGCTTGGCTTGCCCAACTTTGGAGTCTCAACTTGTTTTTCAGTTCTGTGAGTGTAAGACTGTTCACTTACTCAGCAGAGGGCAACTTGGTTGTTCAAGAATATCCTGGACCTATAAGGATTACAGGGATCAGTCCTTGACCCTCAGAAAGAAAGGCAGCAAATACTCAGAATGTTAAATATCCAATTTAAGAACTGCAGTAAAAAGAGGAGAATGCAGGCAGCATTTTTGGAAAGTCCTTCCAAAGTGCCCTCTAAACTGAATGGCTCTGCAAAGCTTATGGCTGTAACAGCAGAGCTGTCTCTTTACCTCTATTGACTGCCAAACCCTGAAAAATATGCAGCGGCAACACTTACTAACGACCTGACGTGGCCCAGCACCGCTGCACCTCCCAGGACCCCAGGAGAGGAGATGGTATTCTTGCTCTCGAGGGCTTCCATGGAGTGGATGTTGACCACCAGTTACCTGGGGTATCTTCAAAGACCCTAATGGAGGTTTGCCAAGGTGCAGTAGGAGCAGAGAAAAAGCTCCACTCTGGCGGGAGTGGCAAAGGAAGCTTCAAAAGCCCATCTGGTCTTTACACCCCCTTTCAAAGGGCTCTTGCCTAAGTCTCCCACTTGGAAGATAATTTGTTTGCAAAGCTCTTTGGCTTAAGGGTCCATTTCTCTGCTTCTACAGCTGTTATCCTACTGTGTGTCCAAGCCAGAGAGCCTTCCAGTTGGGCTCTTGACTTAGTAGTAATAGTTAACATGTACTGAGTTCTTCCATGCTCTGCCCTAAGGAAGCCCCGTCTCATTCAACCTTAGAACAACGCCACAAGGTTATTCCTATCACCACTCTATAGATGAGGCATCTAAGACTTGGAGGGACTCCAAATGGCCCAGTTAGAGACACAACCCAGATAGTAGATGGGCAGTCTGCTGGTGGAGATGTTTGTCTTAAATGGAGGTCGGCAAAGTTTTATGGCCCACAAGCATAGCTCGCCCGCTGCTTGGTTTTTGTTAATGAAGTGTTATTGGAACAGAGCTTTGCCGTTTCAGTGTTTTCATTGGAACATTGTTTTCTGTTGTCTATGGCTGCCCTCATTCTCCAAAGTCAGAGTTAGGCAGTTGTGACAAAGACCATATAACCCACGAGGCCTAAAATACTTCCTATCTGCCCTTGTTCGGATAGTTTGCCGAGCCCTGTCTGTGCTCACCGCACTAAATAACTTGCCTTCTAGTTAAATCAGAGTCTCCCAGAGGGCATGGACACCTCTCTCATCCCTGCCCCGAACCCCAGCCCCAACCCCAGAGATGTCATCAGTGATGGTTACACTTCAAAAGACCTTAAAATGCTTACCTGACTAAATGGATTTCATTTATGTTTAAACAATCCTAAACCTCCTTCCAAAAATGTAAAAATCCAGGCAAAAATCATGTTTGCTGCAAACTACATTAGGCCAGACAAATCCCAGAGGTCAAGATTGATGGTTCCCGCAGCAGAACAAGGATGACTCTAAGTTAAAGTGCATGTCACATCTCTACCAATCTCTCTTTAAGACATGCTGTTTCTGCGAGTCGCTCTACAGTAAGCTGGTGGAGGGAGGGGGACAGTATATCTTTCAGCCCTAGAAAGTACACATAAGCAAAACCTCAAGGAGACAAGAATAAATACAAAAAGCCTGCACTAAGTCCCTGGCGTCTCGCAGGCCGCCCTGGGAGGAGAGGCACGGGAGGAGGGATGACAGGACACATACCAGGGCTCTCTCACCGGGAAAGGGCTCCATCTCCCTGTGGCGCCTCCAATCCAGGTGAGCCCACCGCCGCTTCCCGACAGGATCTGCCCAGCCTGGGGTCCCCAGGGGACAGTGGCGTGGGAGAGCTGGGCTCCATCTCCCTTTACCGCCTGGCTGTGTCACCCGCCCAGACCCTGACACCGCAAGCTACCGTAGGCATCAGTGAAGGTGTGTTAACACCCCGGATGAGCACCATTCCGTGCCTGTTCTCACCCTCACCCCAGCTTGGCCATCGCTAGCTCCAGGGTCCTGTACAAGTAATTTTTTTTCTCTTTTTCTTGTTTAATTTTTTAAATTTTCATTAGTACATGTTTGCAGTACGCAGGGATTGCAGTCATCACGGGCTGCTGGTACGTGTATGCAACATATCTTAATTCTTTTTACCTTCCCCCTCTCTCCTCCCACTCCTCCCTCTCCATCTCTGGGTCCCCCTCCCATTTGTAAAAAAAAAATTATAACTTGGGTAAAACAACCTCTTTGAAGGCAGGGACTTCATCCTTGTGTGTCTGTCCCTAGGGAACTATGGGCGCTCAGTGTTGCAGGAAGGAGTCCCCCTAAACCTCGGGTTCTACTATGAACACTGAGAAGATGGACATCGAAAATGGATGCAACTCGAGACCACGCTCACAAGTGAAATAAACCAGACGCACATGTGGAGACATCCTATTGTCTCCCTAGTGGGAGAAGCTGAAAGAGTAAATAAGACCCAAAAGGTACAATAGGAGTTGTAAAATGGAAGAAATTTCAAAGGGAAAGAGAAACTGGGATGGGGGAGTGGAGAAAAGAAGGAAGGGAAAAGAAAAAAGTATATATATATATGAAATAGTTAATACAGTTATACTACTAATTTCTCTTAGTTCATTGAAAAGAAAGGTCTGTGCTAATATTTTTTGGACAATTAAATGCTGATATCTTGTACTCTGAGTAACTAACTTAAAGATAACAATATGCAATGTATTAACCATTGCTACTCTCCTATTATCTTGTTTTGAAATTTTTTTTCTCTTTAAAATAAAAAAAAAGAAAGGAAATGAATATCAAGCCCAAGCGCTCACGTAGCAAGTGCTTGACAAGTATCCATGAGGATAGCGGCAATCATGTTAGTAAAATCAGCTTTTCTGTGGCTCCATTTCCTTGACTAGAGAATGGAATCCTAATCACCTGACAGCAGGACAGGTTTGCAGGAAATCAAGGATAGAGTGAGTACAAAAGCATTTCTCCCTCGTGGAGGTGTTACCTATCGCCATCACAGCACTTGTTACCCAGTGTGACAATGACGTGTTTCCGCGGGCTCTGCCACCCAGCACACTAGCTGGAAGAGAGTGGGCGCTCAGGAAGTGCATGCCATATCAGCCACCTGTGTTAGTCAGTTTTCATCTCTGTGACCAAACACCTGAGGAAAACAACTGAGAGGAGGAAAGATTTGTTTGGATTTCAGAAGTTTCAGTCCGTAGTCAGCTGGCTCGGAGGCAGAAACAGCGTGAGAGAAGGTCAGGGCTAAAGGAAGCGGTCCATCTCACAGCAGCCAGGAAACACAGAACAAGAGAACCAATCAGGAAGGCGCTGGGGTCAGGACATACCCTTTAAAACCATGCCTTCACACTGGGCTGTGTAAAAGCCCCACCACAGACATCAAAGGTTCTAGTTTAATTCCCAGTTCCCACCCCTGCCGTGGGGTTAGATCTTCATGTTTACCATTTCTGGAATGTATGGTTATAAACGCCCTGCCCTTCCTGGACTCCCAAAATGTATTGTTCTTCCCCTAAATGCTCTACCCCTCCCGGATTCTCGGAATGTATTGTTCCTGCCATAAAAAAAAAGAGTCCCCTCATTGTTACAGATGTGACATGTGTTTGCCAAACAGGATGTGGTTTTAGGGTATAAAAGCTACTCTCGTCCCTGGATTGGGACTGGTCTGATCCTTCCCTGCGTGGAGGCTCTCAATCAGTCCCTGGCCAGGAATAAAGGCTCATCCTAAATTCCAATTGGTGGTCCATGCATCTTGGTGTTTGTTGGTCGGTACCATTTGGTTCATTTCTGGTTGCGAGTCCAGAACAGGCTGGGTATCACAGGCCTGGAATCCCAGCACTGTAGGAGGCTGAGGCAGAAAGATCACAAGTTCAAGCCCAGCACGGTAAACTACGTGAGATTCTCTCTCAAAAAAATAAAGAGGGTTGAGAATGTAGCTCAGTGTGATGGCCCTGTGTTCAATCCCCAGTGCTACGCCCTCCGCCCCAAAGAAGTGCTCCTCCAGTGACCTGCCCCTCCAACTGGGCCCCAGTTCCTTACAGCCCATTCAGCCATGAGCCATCAGAGGATGAATCCATGGGTGAGGTCAGGGCCCTTGTGATCCAGTCACCTCTCTAGGCTGCACCACTGAACATGGTTGTCCTGGGGATCAAGCCCTCAGTACCAGAGTCTTTTGGGGGACACTCCTATTTAAACCATAGCACAGCCTTCATAGTACATAGTGGCATATTCAAGGAAAATGACGCTGTGTAGATATAGCTTTCCATGTTGAATGTAGTGAACATTTCAGTGATACTAAAAAGAATCTTTACAGACACAAAGCAACTTTAAAATTGTGTATCTTATGCCAGTGCATACATTTATTAATATTTTCCTGCCTTTGCCAGTTTCTGGGGGTTTTCCCTTCTACAGTGTCAGCATTTCAGGATGGTATCCCTTCCAGATTTTGGTTCAGAGCTTTGCTGAATCAGAAAATAATTTTTGACTTTGTCCAGGAGCCTTACATATTTGATATCAGTTGCATTATTTCCTCTATGCCAATAACATTTCCAAACTTGTTTGATTTTTGTAACCTACATCAGGGCACGTATTTTCCAGGTTATAAATAAAGGTGCTTCCCTCACAGAAGCCTACTAAGCACCTCACAACAAAAAAGACGTTTCCACCCATCACCACCATCTTCTCTCACCTCCAGTTAGTTTTAGCTCAGCGGCACAGCGCCTGCCTGGCAAGCGCAAGGTCATGAGTTCGATTCCTGGTACCGGAAAAAAAAAAAAAAAAAAAGACCCAGCATGTATTTCTAACTGAGCCAGTTTTATAGGAAACATCTCAAGAATCTGTATGGAAATCAGGATGTGGCTACTTGTGATTTAATTCACCCCTATTTGTTAGTTTTACTGGGCTGGGGGTGTCCCTCAGTGGTAGAGGACTTTCTAAGCATTTGAAAGACTCTGGGTTTAATCCCTAACACTGCAAAGGAGTTGTAAATTTTGCAAAAAGCAACAAGCAACCAAATAAGTCTCAGCTACAGTATAATGTGGGCATTTGAAGGAATGAGACCCACACCCAGCCCAGTAGAAAATGATAAACATGCTCAGGTATTGACGAGCAGAGGCAGGGGCACCGGGGCTGTGCTTCTTGCCTCTTGTCGGCAGACATGACAATCAATCACACCTGACTACAGTTCTTAATCTTCTTGTTTCCCATGCGACATGAAATCAATAACTCCTGCACAGTAGCAAGCAAATCCTCCGGCGTCCTCAGCAGCCCCATCCTTCTTCCCACTGCTGAAAGTACTTCCCAGGGGAAGCGAGGCAGCCTAGCCTTTCTGCGGGGAGAACCAGGAGGCCACTTAACCTTTCAGTTAGCCATGGGCAAAATCAGCATATACTAGTACCAAGCTGACAGTAACTAGTTGCTTAACAACCCATCTTGCTCCTGGTTGCAACACATTAATGTTATAACTGTAAGAATCTTTAAAAGTGAGATAATTATAGACGATAGGCAGTGCTATGGACTGAATGTTTGTGCCACCACCCCCCATTTCATATGTTAGAATCATACCCCTAACAGTACGTAGGAGGTGGGGCCTTTGGGGAGGTAATTAGGATGGGAGGGTGGAGCCCTCAAACAGGAGCAAAGCCCGTATAAAAGAGGCCCAGCAAGTGCTTTTTTTTTTTTTTTTTTTTCCTTTCCACCAAATGAAGACACAGTGGGAGGTGTCTTCTACAAACAGCCCAGAGCCCTCAGCAAACACCGAATCTACTGGTACGTTCATCTTGGACTTCCCAGCCACCAGAACTGTAAGGGACAGATTTGATACTTACAAGCTGTCCGGTGTATCGTGTTTTGTGGTAGGCACCCACAGGGCCTAAGACAGGCTCCTGCAGTCCTTAGCTAGCTGCCAGTCTGTTTTACCTGGAGGGTGACTATTCACTCCCCCTTGGAGACTTTTAGCCCAGAATGTAGTTTAATGGTTTTAAAGAATCCATTTACCTTGTGTTTTGTTATGCAGTGCAAGTCTCCTAGTTGATTTAGTTTGCACATGTTCAGTTAGGCCCTGTAACATCATAACAAGGGAAAAGAAGTCACAAATATAACTTGCTTTATAACAAAAGTTTGCAGGAAAAAACCCAGAATTCTAAAATACAGCTCTTGCAGTAAGAGACCAGCCTGAAGTTTAGTGGATTCAAGTAACAAATTTCAGTATTTCTCAAGTATCTGTGGCAGGCTGAGTGGCATTTCAGGGCTGGGCTGGGCTGGCTTGACGGGAACTCGAAGGCCTAAGCTAACTTCCTCAGGTGTTTTGGGATCTCCACTGGCAAAGGAATGCTGGGACAGCTGGGGCCTGTCAGAGATCAGCAAAGCTGGAGAGTAAAGGCCGTAAAAACTGATTTTTATTCAATAACTGCCGCAGTCAGAAACAGCTGCCCTCCATTCCAATTGGTAGCAGGATCACTGAGTGATTTAAAGAAAGAATGACAGAGCCCTGGCAGAGGCAGAAGTGAAAATTTAGGAAAAGCCTGCAAAAGGGCTGGTCAGTGTCAGTGCGATGAAGGCCCCTGGGTCTGATACTGGGCTGATAGGAGTGAGCCGGCCCCTCCTCCACAGAGACTGGGAGGCCTGCCTGGTGATCCCATTGCAGAGGAGTTACTGCAGGAGTCACCCGTAGGAACAGTTCAGCTGGAAGCAGTCTGTGGGTGGTGGTGGTGTTTTTAAATAAGTGTTCTAAGACGCTGAGGTCAGGGGTCTAGAGCACATTGCGGATTCTCTTGGAAGCCTTGAATGTGTCCGCACAGCAACTCAAGGGAGCGGTGGCGCTGGTTGAAGGCACACTAGGGTTTGGGCAATTCCCTCCATGCAGGCTGGGACTGAGCTTTCTGTGCTTGGAGTTTCTGCCGCTCTCAGGCCTCTGTGCCTGGTAGCTGGTCCTGCAGCAGGCCTGTCCCAGGTTGTGTGCGAACACTTTCAAGTCTCTGCTTGCTTTGCCTTTGCTAACATCTCACTGGCCAAAAAAAGCCAGATGGCTAATGCAGATTCGGGGGGAGGGAGGACAAACAGACTCCACAGGACAGGAGGAGCAGCAGCAGCGTGCAAACTGCGGACAGCGTGCGGTGGAGGTGGTTACGGCAGCCCAGCGTCACTGTCTCTGCAGGATAAAGGTGCTCCTAGCCTCTACTCTTTCTTGAATGCGCCCCTCATTGGATCCTACATGGGATGCAGAGCTCAGAGAGGAAGAATCCGAAACACTCCGTTCTGCTGTGTCCCGTCTCCTCCCCATGATCGCTGGCCTAGGGAGACAAGGCTTCCTCTCTGTGCTAGCCTCCTTGTTCTCTGATTTCACTTCAATCCTACTTGTGGGAAGGGCAAGTTCCTCTATTCCAGAGCTGAGTGCTTCAAGTT